TTAAAACTATCGCATACTCAATTATTTCAAAAGTGCACAGATCTAGCACTGTCACTCACAAACCTGACAAAAATATACCCTAAAGCCAAACTGATTAGGTGCATATGTAATAATTATAAAATTGAACAAGAGAACTTGTTAATTACATTTGTGGTATGGTAACTCATGGAGCCACCATACAAATCGGCTACGCATCATACATGTACTTACACAGTTGCTTTCAGACACTCGGGAGTGGGTACCAGGAAGGTGTACAAAACTCACTGTGTCTCAGTGTTTCATCTTGGAGTACCGACTAATACAGAAACAAAAAAGAATGTGTGGGTTTACCTAACAAACACGTGTGCATTTATCCATCACTTTTTTTCTCAATAAAAATAATTGAATCTTGTTAAGCACATGTGCAGTTGGAATGCCGCTTTGGCTTATTAACACTTTGTGCCGGGTTTATTTTTGCCAAAAATTTCGAAATTTTCAAAAGACAAATTTCCCAGCCAACTTCTGATATCCAGCAAACTGTACAAATACTGATTCACAAGAGTCATTCAACAGTATCTGTACGATATTTCTTGCCGAAGTATGTTTCAATACTCCGGGGTGTGCACTGGAGCATAAATTGTACAACAGTAGGCCGTGCACAATGGCCCACACAATGGGCAGCACCACCGGTCCACCTCCACAGAAACACAGACTTTGTGTGTGTGTACAAAAAGCACGAGGGATCAGCTTATTCAGACATCACCAAAGGCGAATTGAGGCAATCTTGATGTCTAAATCCGTCAGCCGTGCCTGTGTACAAAAACAGCCATTGCGTGTTATCACGGTCTTTGGCGATAAACTGGTTAAAAAGAGCATGTTTGGCTCAGTAATATGTATGAGTTGTAATAATGTATATTACATAAATATTTTTTATTGTAATGCTATCAAAGACTCCTCTGAAGTGCTGAGATACTTCAGTCTGAGAAAATTTGGAGAAAAGACAAAGAAATTGCAGAAATACAGAGGCAAGCCGACACCTCTGGAATTGTAGACTATAGAAAAATCCACACCATTCAGACAGGGACTGAAAACAAACAATCCACATGTTGGTCTGTGTTGGATTCGAACCTGGCCACAGAGGTGGAAGCTAGCGAGGGAAGTACCAAGGCAACCTGAAACTTACCGGAGATATTTCTGCAGCGTTCCTTTGGAGCTGTTTAAGAAGTCCTGCTGTTGGACTGACTTGAAGGGTCTCCTGCTGTAATGGGGTAGTTCCATCTTGCCGACCCACTTACTGCACTGTTACGACAACCAAAGTGAAATCTACAGGTTACAAGAGTTCTCAAAAATTTCCAAAAAAATTCAGACTAGCCTTGTATCCCAAGGTCTTAAAATTAAGGGCTCCGTGCACAAGTACCCCCTCAACGGTACGTAAGGGGAGAGTTGGTGGCGACCACTGGGAGAGACATTTGAGCACTACCGTTGACACCAGGCCAGATGCTCGTGCGAAGATGCTATGACTTTGACATTTAGAAGAAGATAACTTGTGCCTACTTTGCACAATAGACTAATCCAGCGACAGCCATTTTCTGAGGTGGCACCAGGCTAGTGGCGAGTCACGCTCAGGTGGTCCGCACAAACTTCGCGCTCCTTCGACCAATAGAGTTACCAAATACGTGCGTGCCTTGTCTTTAAGAACACGTGTAGCATGCGTGTGAGCGTGGCACCACCGCAGTAACAGCTTCTAATTCTGTTCGCTGCATTCTGCTATATGCATGCAAACCAGTACACACATGCAGTGTGTCCCGTCCGCTGGTTCTCAAAAGTGGTAAAAAAAGTACCCTCTCTTGTTCCCGTGTGGAGCCCATAGTTCCCATTCCATGAACCTCCATATTCTCACAAAGTGATATGAAAAGCCATTTCCTCTTTGAGTGATCCCAATTCGCTATTTCCCAGGTTTGCAGCATTGCTAATGTTGCTAGCATTGGACTTTTTAGAGTGATCCCTGGCTACATATATGTTGATGTCCCCTAACGTGGCGCTGACCCTTACGTGGCGCACTTTGATTTTTCGCCTCTAGTGCCTTGCTAGAGCAAAAGTTTTACCTGAAATTTCACAGTATGTGAAATTTCATCAGGCTCTAGACATTCCCGCTCATAAATCTTGAGTTTACCTACCCATTACAAAGTTAGCAGAGAAATTAATTTTGGCGTGATTCTCCGTTCTATTTCGAACCCTATAAAAATGCCACCCCAAACATACGAAAATAATTTTCTGACAAACTTCTAGTTGGGTATGTGAGTGGAGACAATAATGGTTTATCAGAGTTTTTCAACTTTAAAGAAATTCTTAAATGTTAACAGGATTTTTCGAAGTTTTGTTCAAGTGCGCCACATTAAGGAACACTCAGCCAATTTGTGTCCAATTTCTGGACGCCACAGTTTTTGAATTTCAGACTCTATTTCATGATGTTGAAATTGTTCACAAAGGTTCAACAGCAGCATATTAAGGTAGAAAGTACCAGTATTTAACTGAATGAATTTAAAGCTTGTCAACAAAGAAGTTTGGCAACACCGTATGAGGAAAGTCGGGGGAAACGTTGAAGTGCGCCACGTTAGGGAACACCACTACACTGGGCAAGTAAAAAAAAACGCAACCCAAATGGCAGGACCAATTTTGAATGAAGTCTTGGCCTGTAGCATTTCAAAATCTAGGATATGAAAGCACAATCTATGAGCTTTCGTTTAGAACAAGAATCATTCAAATCACTTATGTACTTTTTAAGTTACGGCATTTTTGAACACAAACACCGTTTTAAAGTTCTGTCCACGGATCACAAAAAAGGTAAGTGTTCTTTCAGCAAACCCAAAACAATTGACATGCATCCCTATTAGAATTGTTTTCGTTTTGCTGAAGGAACGAACTTTTTAAAACAGTATTTGTGTGTTTAAAATTCTGTAACTTGAAAAGTACATGAGTGATTTGAATGATTCTCGTACAAAAGAAAGATTAATAACTGGGCTTTCATATCCTAGATTTTGAAAGTGCTACAGGCAACACTTCATTCAAATTGTCCTGCCATTTGGGTTGCATTTTTTATTACTCGCCCTGTATAATGGTTTATGGCTTCTGACGTCCGCCCCTTGAGCAAAGAAATTGAAAAATCAGAGGTTTTCAAATCCAAATATCTCAACAGGGCTACGTGAAAAATCTATTCATCATACTCTTCTCATTTTTTTCAATCACCTCTTTCAATCTCTGCTGCAGAGCGTGGAAGTCCCCCAGACGACGTGAGACGACCCATCCCGGTATTGATATGGCCGGGGTCAATGGGATGTACCACTATCACGTAATAGGGATGACTTTGTCACCTTCCTCCAAAATCTAGGCAGATGAGAAAAATTTAAGTGAAGAAAATTGCAGACTGACACTTCACGACAAGCGATATAAGTCTACACACTATCATTTACATGTTTTTTTTTTGCTCGATAGAAATTTGGTGTTGCGCTAGTGGAGAAAATGTTATCATATAGAGTACAATATTAATGTACGGCAACTGACAAAAAATGCTGCTTTTGTAGATGAAAACTTTCACGCTTGACTTGAGGTGTTTGGGGACACACGTTAAATTAAAGTTTATTTCATCCAAAGAAAATTCCATCCAAAGATGATCACCCCTAAAATCAGTTCTGAAGCCCATCGCCATTTTGAAAATGGACGCCTACCCTCCATTGCAAAATAGAGCCATTTTAGGGCTAATTTCATCCAAATTTCACAGAAATAGGAGCTCGCACGGCTTCACTCTTCTTTTTTACAAATCTCCAAGTTCGCGGCACTCAATATGCTCCAATACCTGAGAATTTGAGGGCATGCAAAGCGTGATTTGTGCCCCGCGTAGGCAACTTCGGGCCTCTTTACAGGCCTACACCCTTGAGTATTGTCCCCGTGGCATAACTGACCTGAGCTGAGCAGATATCGGCCCGCCACTTGCCAATTTGGTCACTCCACAGGTCTGTCCGCTCGATGTAGGTTTCCAAGGTCGACTTCTCCAGTTTGAGTTGCTCGATTTCTTTCTCCAGCATCTGCTGCATCTGTGTAGGGGAAAACAAAACACCAAATTTGATAATTACAAGGCCGTTAAAGGTACAGTCCATCAATTGCAGCTAATCCAAAAAGTAACTGACGAAATTATTGTTCAAAACAATAATTGGTTTAAAGATAGTAATGGGACGAAACTCCCTGTCAAATGATTCTTTCTGGCAAGCTGTCATTTTGAATTAAACAATGAAAGAAGACCATTTCCAACGATGCGTCTAAAAACGCATTCTTGGAAAGTAGTAGTTCATTTATTAATTCGGTGAAGCGCACGCAAGCATTGTCACGACGCACATGCGTGCCGTTTGCTGTTATCGTCGGTTAAGTGCACAACATCGCGTAGCTGCAATCGTCTGAATGAGAACGCAGTTCAAAACAAGACTCTGCAACTTTTGATTTGAAATCGAGATCCTAGAATTTTTTTTCTCGGAATATACAGCATTCACTGAGCTGAAACTCATAGGTGAGTTAATAAGCATCCTTCTTTAGAATTTGAGCACTTTGTTGCTTCAACACGAACATAATGCACAAATTATAAATGATGTACTCTACCTTTAAGAGCTTGCTAAACAAAACAAAATCATTAGAGTAACTCATCAAACGGGTAACCTGATTAAGTGATTGAGTATTCTACCTTGAGTCTGCACTGTGAGCGCTCTTGAGGTTACTCAGCTCTTGGAACTCATGACTGAGCCTTCCCTCTAAGTATCGGAGTAACTCATCAAACGGGTTACCTAAGTGATTGAGATCCTACCTTTGAGTCTGCACTGTGAGTGCTTTTGAGGTTACTCAGCTCTGGAAACTCATGACTGAGCCTTCCTCAGAGTATCGGAGTAACTCATCAAAACAGGTTGCCTAAATTATTGAGTATCTACTTGGGAACTCATGACTGAGCCTTCCTCAGAGAATCAGAGTAACTCATCGAACAGGTTACCTAAATGATTGAGTATCCTACCTTTGAGTCTGCACTGTGAGCGCTCTTGAGGTTACTCAGTGCTGGAGCTTGTTGCCGAGTCGTTCCTCTACTTGTTGGAGTTTGGTCACGACGGAACATCGTCTGCTCAACAAAGCTGGTCTCGGAAGTCTGCAGCTCCTCCTGTGGCGGCTTCACCTGTCAAATACATGAAAAGTTAATGCCACTTAGCATTCACTTCAAACTAGCATTCCACAAATTTCCTTGACTACCACACAGTCCCGAAATTCACAGAGTGCATGGAACTTTTACCTTAGTTCCAAAATTCCATTACTGTTTTTGGACAGTTGGTGACTGTCAAACTTGACTGTTTGAGGAAACCTGAGGACAGTCCCAAAATTCCTGCAGCTTTCCACGACTTCCGGATTACCTCTGCATTGCATCCCTTATCCATAGGACTTCCAGGTTACCTTTGTATGAAATCCCTCCTTTTTCAGGACTTCCAGGTACCTTGTATGAAATCCTTCTTTTTCAGGACTTCCAGGTTACCTTTGTATGAAATCCCTTCTTTTTCAGGACTTCCAGGTTACCTTTGTATGAAATCCCTTCTTTTTCCAGACTTCCAGATTACCTTTGTATGAAATCCCTTCTTTTCAGGACTTCCAGGTTACCTTTGTATGAAAATCCCTTCTTTTTCAGGACTTCCAGGTTATCTTTGTATGAAATCTCTCTTTTCCAGGACTTCCAGATTACCTTTGTATGAAATCTCTCCTTCCCATGACTTCCGGGTTACATTTGTATTAAATCCCTTATTGCCAGGACTTTCAGATTATCTTGTAATGATTCCCCTTCGTTCCCATGACTTCCGGATTACCTTTGTATTGAATCCCTTCTATCCCAGGACTTCCGGATTACTTTTGTATTGAATCCCTTCATCCCAGGACTTCCGGATTACCTTTGTATTGAATCCCTTCGTTCCCATGACTTCCGGGTTACCTTTGTATTGAATCCCTTCTATCCCAGGACTTCCGGGTTACCTTTGTATTGAATCCTTCATTCCCATGACTTCCGGGTTACCTTTGTATTGAATCCCTGCTTTCCCAGGACTTCCGGGTAATCTTTGTATTTAATCCCGTCTTTCTCAGAACTTCCGGGTTACTACTTCTCCAGTACTTCCGGGTTACCTTTGTATTGAATCCCTTCTTTTCCAGGACTTCCGGGCTGAGCGCCTCCGTGGATGCCTTTTCGGTTGGCTCCCCCACGCGGCCATCAGCTTGCCATAGCTCTCGCTGACCAGGAAGGACGGGTAGTAGGTCTCGTCTAGCAACTGGTACACCTGATGCTGGGCACTGAAGAATGACTCCGGGCCCTGCTCCAAAAAAACCAAAAAATCAGGTTTAGTGAAAGAGTAATTTTCCGTGGCATTTAGTTGACCCTGGTTTTAATTACTGTACCAGGCTCTAGTCTGATCACAGACTCAAAAATGGCAGGCAATGTAAAGAGTGTGCCAAAAAAGTGCAACATTCAGAAAACGAATAATTAAAACTGTTTAATGTTTTTTTTCTCAATGAAATTATTATATTAAAGCCTGACTATTTCTCAATCCACTCCTGTTTACCCATTCCATTTGGGTCCCTAGATCCAGAAATACAATCAATTAAGTGAAAGGGTGTAAACTTTGCTTGGGCCACTCTCACCTATGTATGTCACCAACTTCAATGCCTATTCAATGCTTAACCCAGATTCAGCATGTTCAGGTGAGAGTGGCCCAAGTAAAATTTACACCCTTTCACTTTGAAGATGGTTCCTAGCAAAAAGGGCCTAAGGGGTTAGGGTTAAGTGTAATTCCACAGTTACTCACGTTACATTTCGTAACGTGAGTAACCGATTTTGTGCATCTTGTTTATCATACATAACACGTTTTTTGGATGTCATCTTTGGTGCTTAGGTAGGTCTAGGTCTACTCTATCTACCATGGGGATAACAGGTATTAAACCTTTTCAGTAAGGTAATTACAGCCCAAGGAAACTCAAAAGTACATCAAAAATGAAACGTGAGTAACCGTGGAATTGCCCGTAAGCATAATGCATGAGGTGCAGGAGAAGTAGGCCAATCAAAGTGTAGGTGAGGCGGCACACCCAAGACGCATATCAACAAATAAGATATCAGAAGCACAAGGCCATTGCCTGTCCTCTATACGAGTTATGAGGTCAGCACCCGATTTCACGAAGCGCTGCGACGCGTCGCAACTCGAGTTACGACGTGTAACACTTCGCAACTCGCGACGTGTCGTATCTTCCATTTCACGAAAGTTGCGATGTGTTGAACGCGTCGTAAGTTCCTTGACAACGGCTTAAAACACGTCGCAAGTTAAGATGTGTCTAGTGGTCGTCGCAAAATAAGAATAGTCATTTCTAAGCCAGTTTTATGCCATAAACATTACATTAACGAGATTATAATACCGAGGCAATGTGGTGTAAAGTTGTAAATAGAAAGCTCATTGAATAATTATGAATTAGACCGGAATATTAGGGTTGAAATTTCAAAGTAGCTATACAGTCCAATGAGAGCTTGTTTTCCTTCAAAATTGCATCGCACGGCCGCCATTTTGTGTTACGTTTTAACAAATTTTGAACTGAGATCGACGACTCTTTGTTGAATATCAAACGACTATTTACTGTACGCTGACTAAATACATAAAACAGTCACCGAGTTGTGCTATAAATACACCTACGACGCGTCGCACTTACGACGTGTTTAGTGAAATGGATCGCAGGACGCGTCGCAGCTGCGACGCGTCGTAGAGATACGACGCGTCGCATCGCTGCGATGCATCGTAAGTTACGAAGAGTTTGATGAAATGGGTGCTGGTCTGCAGTTTTATCCCGGGCTCAAGTCACTCATGTGCACACATGTCAGACTTTTTGCACGAACGTCGGACATTAAAAGTACGGCTTAGATTGGTCAAGACACCACGACTTAAAATTACCCTGTTTGCTGCCAAGAAGTCTGTCATGCCTTTGATTGTGGGCTTTGTCAACCTTGACCGCGCTGGTTGTAGCCAAGTAGGTCTGGTAGATCTCATTAGCATACATGTGCTGGTCCTTGGGCTGATGAAAAACAAATGAGAGTGTGTTCAATAGGGGATAAGGGCATTTCTTACAATCATTATTACCCATGACAGACATGCCAATAATCTGTAATCAGTTGTTATGCCTCCAGCATGCAGTGCGATGTTTTCTTTTCAAATCTTTTTTTTTACCTGATCACAGCAAAGTACACGAAATGGATATCTACGGGGTTTAGATGCTCTAAACACCTCCCCCTTCGTGGATGTGAACGCGAAGCATATATACGTGGCGAAGCATACGCTGTGAAATATGCTGGAATTGAACTGCGTCAATTTTTGCCAAATGACAACCAATGACAAATTCTTTGTAAATGTACTTGAAATTGTCAAGGGGCATCCGGCCTCTAGGTACAGTAAAACAGTCCTGCAAAATCCTCTAAAACCTTCTGTTTGATGTTTGATTATTACTGATAATTCAAATATTATCATACAGGTGTCTATATGAAATGATATGGTGAGTAACATTATAATAAAACCTTATTCATGAATTTAACAGAATAGTCTCACCTTCTTACTGTCCCTCAATTGCTCCACCGCCAACCAAAAGCTGCCAAAAGAAACAAGTGAACAAACACATTAAGAATGCAAAGTAATTCACAGATTTCAGGGCAACACCTGCCTTACAAGAGTTATTACAAAATCCTAGTGCTTTTAAAAAGGTTTGCAGGCATGCAAATTTGAACTGAAAAAAAAGAAGTCATTTTACAAAACTTTCTACACTGTTTTCAATTTGTTTAACAGCATACAGGAAGTGTAAAAAAAAGTAAGCTGATCTAAGGAACAGTTAACTTCCTGAGTTCTTTACATGAATGTCAACTGTTTCACCCCCCAAAAAAGGCCACTCTGCAGTAACCTCTTTGCGGGAACTGCCTTGTCATTTGCTCCTATTTGACAGTGAAACTTTGACTGAAGTTCGAGCTTTGCTCAAACCTAAGCTAGTCGACCGTACTTGGACTAGTCTAGTCAACTATTCATGACAAGCCTCCTAAAGTTGGTCAAATTGCTGGTTATTGATACATGTAGTAGCATAGTAGAAATAAGTACAGCAGGTGCCTATAGGACCGAGAAGTTTGGGATGACATTTTAACTATCATTTGACTCATCTACAAATGTACCACTACTTAACCATTAATTGCTCTTCAACCAAATTTGGGCTGGGTCTGATTCTCATGTCTAGGTCTTTGACAGTTGCAAGGGCAAACGGTGACAACAGACGTAGCCATAGCTCTGGATAACCATTTTGATCACTGCCATCCTCACAGCAATGAGAGAATCAAAGCATGATGTCAATCTTACTTCAACAGGTCGTCCTTGCCGTCCTTCTTCAGGAAGTTGGTCAGGTAGGCCCGGGCCACCTTGTCCGACAGGATCTCGTCCAGAGTCAGCACCCGCTGCGGCCGCAGGTCATGCAGCGGTCTGGAGTGGTGCCCGGCGGCGGTGGACCTGCTGTAGGCCTGGTACTCAGGCCCGCCTCGGAGCGCCAGGCGTCGCTCGCACTGGACTTTGGCAACTTTGCACTGCAATGACGACAAGATCACTGATTGTAAAAATTTGAAACTCGCTATTCAGCGCAGTACAAGTGCTGATGAGTTTAGGCTCCAGTGTCTAGTCAATGGAGAATGAATACATAAAGTTTGCCATTCTGAAACAAAGTTTATTTCGGTCAACCTGTTTGCTCTTTAAATACTATTGGGTTCGCTGTTATTCTGGATTGCCAATCTCAATTCATGTTCTGGACAAGTTGCGGACATTGTATTGGGTATAAGTTGCAGGATTCTGAGCAACTTCCCCGCAATCTTCCCGCAATGAAGTTATCAAATTCAGCGCCTTGAGTACCTAATTGTTGGTAGGTACGTGCGCTATATAAGACTCCGGTATCAGTACTGGCGAGTCAAAGCAGTTGCCGGTGAAATTTCCCCGGAACATGTTCGGGACAAATGCAGAGCTTCTTCTGAATGATTCTATCTGCAAGATGAGTGTGGGTTCGAGTCCCGCGTCTCGACACTTGTGTCCTTAAGCAAGACACTTAACCATTATTGCTTCGTGCTTCAGATGGGACGTAAAGCCGTAGGTCCCGTGTGTAAAGAACCAGTAACACTTATCGCTAAGAGAAGGGTTTGCCTCGTTGTTTCTGGCAGTGCGTTTATCTTCAACCATATGAAGGCAGCACTTGTAAGGAAGGACAAGTATGAAGACAATGCCGAGAGTAGCTTTTTACCTGGTTGATGTATCTCTTTGAGGTTGCGGACTCTCAGCAGGTTGGCCTTGCCGCTGCTCTTGGTAGACTTGTCTGTCTCGGGTCCCCTGGCCTTCTTCAGGTCTTGGATCATGGTGGCGTGCATTATTTCAGTGATGATGTGATACCTGGGGGGGGGGGGGGGAAACACTCTCCTAACTTTTCTTGTCATCAATTAAACCACAAAGGCTGCATAGTTTGGAGTAAAATGGTAGATACAACTTTTGGAAGTTTATCAACTTCATGACTTTTTAATGGTTTGTGACAGAAAAGGTATTAATAAATGGGGATAATAACAGAGTTGTAAAGAGTCGTTGAGTTTTGTGACTCCGTCGAGTCGAGTGGAGTGACTCGAGTCGAGTCGAGTCATTAGTCGAGTCTGGAATATTTA